GATCTGGGACACATAGTCATGATAAATAATTCTTCCTTCACTGGATAGATGAGAACCTCAAACATCCCAGGCACTGTCCCAGGCACCATGGTACAGCAGGTACACACCTCTTATCACTTGGGAAGCAGAAACAAGAAGAAGGGGAGATCAAGACCAGCTTTGGCTACTTACGAGAACATCATGTAGCCCGCCTGGGCTACCCAACAGCCTATGTCACAAATTCAGAGGGCCTGGGTTCAGTTCCCAGTAACCACATAAAGGCTGTGGTCATTTGAATGAGATGTCCCCCATAAGTCTTGGGCATTTGAATAGTTGGTCCCCAGATGGTGGCTGTTTGGAGGGGATCAAGAGGTGTGGCCTTCGAAGAATAAGAGTGCCACTGGGGGAGGGCTTTGAGATTTAAAAGGACTACTGCCATTTCAAGTTAGCTCCCTCTGCCTCCTGCTTATAGTTAATACAGACTCTAACCCTCTGGAACCATACACCCAAAATAAACTCTTCTACAAGTTGTCATGGTGTTTTATCACAACAATAGAAAAGTAACTAATACAGTGGCTTACAGCCGCCATAATTCCCTCACTTCTAACTTCCGTGAGCACCAGGCATGCTCATGGTACACATGCACACATTGCCGGCAAAACAGTTATACACATAAAGTAGAATAAATAAACTTAAAACACTATTTTAAACAATTCCAAGTCCAAACCAAAGCAGTGTAGTAAGATCCCTGTACTTTCAGCTAGGTCGGTCCGTCCTTCCTTCATTCCTTCCTCTTTCCTTCCTCATTCCTTCCGTCCTTCCTTCATTACTTTCTTCCTTCCTCCTTCCTTCCTTCCTCTTTCCTTCCTCATTCCTTCTTTCCTCTTTCCTTCCTTCTTTACCTTCCTTCCTTCCTTTCATTTTTGTTTGTTTGTTTGTTTGCTTGCTTTGATACAGGGCGTCTCTGTGTAACCCTGGCTGTCCTGTAGACCAGGCTGACCTCAAACTCAGAGATCTGTCTGCCTCTGCCTCCTGACTACTGGGATTAAAAGCATGAGCCACCATGCCCAGCTCACCTAGAATTCTGAGAGACCCAAAATAGTGGGGACTTAGAAATGAGACCACGCTAGAACTGAGGAAACAGCAAAGGTGATGGTGGTGGTGAGGGTGCTGTCACTCTGCTTTAGGTGGGGGTGGTGAGGGTGCTGTCACTCCGCTTTAGGTGGGGGTAGGCGGTGGTCAGGAACAGCCTCTCTCAGAGCTGGTAGAGCTGCCTGGAGCCTGAAGAATCAGAGGAACCAGACTGATTACTCAACTAAAGGAGTAACAGCGAGGAAAACAGCTGAGGAGGCTTTTGGAGTATACGGTAACCTATCCTCTCCTTTGCATCTTGCACCTCCCTGCTCATGGATGCACTCAGCCCTAGAAATGTGTTGACATGCAACATTCCAAAGAGCATCAAAATCCCACCGGCCTGGACCTCCTTCAAGGTAGGCCTTCTGCAAAAATTATTTGCTGTTCTTAGCAACATATGGTTGCTTATTCCAGGTAATGCTGAACAGGACATAAATGATGTTTTAAAAACTCTTACAACAGGAACTTCACAGCTCTTCACACAGCGCATACACAAAAGCAAAAGTCACAGAAACCACCAAGCTCTCTGTGGTTGCGTAGTATTACTACAATGCTTATGGTGATTTCATGGATAACTTAATTTGAAAGCACCACTCTAGGCAAACATGTAGTGATAACTTTATTCAAACACAAACCACAGCCAGCACGTGCGGTGGTTTGGCAGGCTAAGGTACCGCCAAGCCTTGTGTCCAGTGCTTAATCCTCAGGGTCCACGTGAAGACAGAACAGATGCCCAAAGGTTTTCCTCTGACCTCTGCATGTAAATTCTGGCACACGCACATCCCTTCCATATACATATATATGGAACTTCTTTAAAAATAAAAACAAAAACACATTGACTTCTAAAATTATCAAGAGCATACATTTTTAGGTGAACTGGGGTCCTGGGAATCTGGGAAATGAGAAAGGAACTCCAAATTGTGACGAAGGTTTTAAAGATGGCCCAATAATGAAGCCGCAATAGCACGAGAATGTGTGAGCTCGGGGCTGAAAATCCTGTCAGGCAAACCTTTAAATGTCAAGTCCCCAGAGGGCAGACAGTCTTCCTGTATCTCACCTTACCAGAGTCAGCCCAGTTACAGCCATGTAACTGTTTATCTTCAGTCATTGCTCAAATCCTGGGAGTTTAATGGGGAAAGGATGTTTCCTATTGTCAGGTACAAGAAACAGCAGTGGCTGTAATGGAAAGATTCCATGTCTGTTAGGGAGACATGGCAAACTCATAAACAGCTGGGATTATTAATTTAATAGGTAATCTCTCAAGAGACACCAACCAATGGGCTCTGTCGACCAAGGGCTCTAACTGACAGAAACTGTGCCAATTTCTCTGTGAAACCCTGTTACCACTCTCACCCCTAAGTCAAAAGTGCATGCACCCAATTTCCAGGAGCCCGGGAGACTCAGAGTAGCCAAATTACACCTGCGAGGCAAGCATTTTCCTACACTGCCACACAGCTGTCACACACAGAAAGCAGCTCTTTCAACTATGCCCTTCAGCCCTATTTAGGGATATCACTAATGATTTAAAATTACAACTGTTGCTTTATCTCAAACAGTGATAAGAGGGGGAGCTACATTCGTGGCACTCTTCCTTTGAGTCATTTATCCTCTCATGGGCAAAAAAGAAAAAAAAAAGGTGTTGAGACAAGTACAAACCTGCCTAAGCTTATTATAGATGCAGCCCCCCCTCCTCCTTCCCCTCCACGCCAGCACCCCTCCCCGCCTGGCTTTTCCTGAATTGAGGCAGTAGCCTCCGGTAAGGAACTATAAGTGGTTCTTTTATCAAAACAAGAAGGGATTCGCCGACAGGGAGTGAGTCAGGCAATGGAGGCAACGACCCCCTCCCTCATTCTGGCAGTTCAATTCACCCGGTTCCTCCAGGTCAGAAATCGCTCAGGTTTCATGGAGGAAAGTCAGGAGGGTCTTTAATCCATCCAAATCCAGGAGCCGGGAAGGAACATAGCCGGCTGCCAGACTTGAGGTGTGGGCAGGCGACTGCGTGCATGTGCATAGGCGTGCAGAGGCATCGCCTGGCTAAGGGCGTGAGTGGCAACGCAGTAAGAGCCACCAGGATGGACAAAGCCACAACTATTACAGTGTGAAATCGCCCCCGCAGGGACTGGCTTCCCCAGATTTATTTTCAGGCAAGTGACTCACAACCTAGTCTCCATAAGTAATTCCATCAAAATGAGTCTCGGGTTCCTCTAGTCCGACTTTCCGCTGCCCTCTGGCTGCCCCTCCCTTCCCTCCGCCCATCCTGTAAACCCAGACAGCTCACAGACAGCAAATGTACCCCAGGGGAACAGGAGGCAGGCTCTCCGGCCCAACCCCCACCCTTGGGAAAGGATGAATGGGGCCACCACCGGCGGGAGCGCGGAGAAGGGGCGTGTGGGCTGCGCGCGAGGTGTATACGCGGGTGTGCGCGCGTGGGCACGCACCAGGCCAACTTACAGAGGTGGAGTTGGTCCTCGCCTGACCCTGGTTTCGCACCTCCTGCTCCCGGAACTGCAGCCCGGCCAGATGCTTCTCCAACGCCTCCCAGTCCATCGGGGGCACCGGTGGCTCTTCCGGGACGCACGTCCCGCTGTCCGGAGGCTGAACGCAGAGCCCCCCAGCTGCCCGGCCTCGGCCTCCGCGCCGGCTCCCGGGAGGCTGGGTCTTCTGGATGGTTCGGCGGGGAGCCCGGGAGGCGCTCGGACGGCCGGCCACAACCACGTTGCCATTGTGCCGGAGGTCTTGGGGGTCGTGCGGGTGGAGGTTGCCGTTAGGCATCCGGGACGGCATGGTGGTGGTGGCGCTCTTGCCCCCGCCGCCGCCGCTGCAGATCCTGGCGCTCACGTCCCCGGGCTCCCGGGCCGGACAGCGGTCATCCCGATACCCTCGGTCGTCCTCCTCTTCCTCCTCCTCCCCGTCCTCCTCCGGAGCCCACTCATCAATCACCTTCTTCTGGTAGACCGGAAAGGGCTCCTCATAGTCTTCCAGAGCAGACACCAAGTCCAGGCTGCCCCCAGGCGACGATGAGGATTTGCACTCGGAGCAAGGGGTCACTTTGGTGGAGTTGGACTGGGAGCTGGCGCGGCTGCTGCTGCTGCCGGCGTCACTGCCTAGATCCATCCCATCCTCTCGGTAATCCTGGGGGGAGGAGGAGGCAGAGAGAGTGAGTGGCCGGGTCGAGCCTGCTCCGGCCGCCCGCTGCCTGCCCCGACCTCCCCGTGCGCGGCGCCCGCCAGCCGCCAGCCGCGAGGTGCGATCTCCCTAGGAGGCCTTGGGGCGGGAGCCAGCCGCAGCCTGAGCGGCCCCCACCCCTGCCCTCACAAGTTGACTTCCTCCGGGTAACTAACCCGCAAATTAGCAAAGGGGTGCGCATCCACCGGCGCACACTTTTCACCCTCCTAGCCCTGGGGCGCGCGCGGACTTGGGGTTAACCATTTTGCTCCAGGCGCGTCCTAGCACTCCGCCCCAAGGATTCTCCCAGACACTTTTCCCACTGAATTCTGATTCCCTGGGGGCGGGACCCGAGAAGCGGGAGGTAGGAGCTGATGTCGCACCTCGCTGGGACACTGGGACCACCCCCCACCTGGCCCCGCCCCGCCCCGCCCCCTCCCGGCAGCCCCGCGCCGGGCGAGCTCAGCTTTACTTTCTAAGGAGCCGCAGCAGTCGGAGGTCGTATCCCGCCTGCGCCACCTCGGCCGGGCCCTCCCGGGAAGGATGGGCACGGGGGCGCTCTCGGCCCACGCTCGGCAGGATGGCACCCCTCAGCTCCGGCTTCCGCCGAAGGTGTGCGGGGCCCGGGCGCAGCGATAGTCGCTGCAGGCGCCGCCGCCCTGGGGGAGGGAAGACGCGCCCTCCAGGCGGCGGCGGCGACAGAGCCGGTCCCGCCACGGAGCATGCCCAGAGGCTGCGGGGTGCGGCGCTGTCCGCTCTCCCGGTTTTCCCCGCCGGAGGCTGAGCTAGAGGCCGGCTGGGAGAGCTCGGAAAGGCCGGAGGGCGGCGGGCGGGGACTAGGGGCGTTCGGCTGGCCGACCGATCCGCGCCCCGGAGAGGGTGCTGAATAGGGTGCTGTATGCGTGGACGCACCCCAAGGCCTCTTCGCTAGGTTCTTTACCCGGACGAAGCCTCCTGGAGGGCCGCGCGGGCCCGATGCCGCCCAGTCCACGCGGAAGTCCCCAAGTGACCCTGGAAAGGGCCTCCTGTCACCTCCGCAAGCAAACACACAAGTCGTTTGGGAGCTCAAGTGACCGATGCCCAGCGGCCAAGCCCATGGTTTCTTTCGCACCTTCCCCTTGCCGCTTCCTCTCCCTTCACCGCGCCCTGGGTTCCACTTCCAAGTTCAGGCAGTGGGTGGAACCTGTTGCTTTTGCTCACGTTCCCTTCCCCTTCCCAGCGGCACTGAGGATGACCTCAGCGAGGTGTATGTACCGCTACGGGGGGCCGGGGGTGTTATCTGACGTGGAGGTCGGGAAGTGGGGTGGGAGACCCATTCTGAAGGTGGGGGTCAAATATCCCTTCCGATCAAAGGGATCCAGAAGAGAGTAAAGGAGAAGGTAGGGCGGTCCTGAGTGGTGGTACCCCTGGCACACGGGCTGGCTTTGCTTCTTTGATTTTTTTTTTCTTCTTCTTCAGGAAATTGAATCAAAGAAAATGGGAATTTTCCAGAACCACACACGGGCTACCTGTGCTTGGCAACCGTTCTCTTTAGGAAGAGGGTTGATGTGAAAATATTTGCTTGGAAAATGTGGATGGGCTGCAGAATACCTTTTAAGGACTAAGAATTTGCTCTGAACAGCCTTACCCTGTAAGAAGTGAATTAGGAAATGCCCTCCTCTGCAGTGAAGATAGAAGAATGCTTAACTCTACAATGGAAAGGAGAAAACCAGCTTCCCCTGACTTCCAGAATCAGGGCTATAACTAATTTATACCAGCAGGGCTAGTCTGGACCAAACCCCCACCGTTGCTTGGCACCTAAGGAATGGGGGAACAGAGGCATGCTTGGGATTCTTTGGTAGGGAGTGGCTGGCACCCTGGCCTTGGAGGCTCTGGTGGGGACTTGGTGCAGAGACCCTTTGTCTGGGTGACTTCCTCTCCTTAGGTAAGTGCCTGGCCAGGAAATATAAGCAAATCTTTTAACTTGTCTGGAAGCAAGGATCCTGTGAGTAACAGGGAGAGAGGCCTTTGGTCTGGCCAGCTCTTCAGTCAAGGGGAACTGGTTATGACTTAAAATACAATTCACACTAACATCTGCAAACAGCCCGCTTCGTGCCCAAATATGGTTTGCTGTGAAGTTATAGTGGAGTGCTGGCTGCCACTGACTGGGGGGTGTGGAGGAAGGAGGTCCTGTATTCATTCTGGGATGTGCATGGGTGCCTGGGAAAAGATCACCTTGTAATGTGACAAAGCTGAGATCAAAAAACCAAAACCCTACCTAGCAGGCTGGAGGACAGCTCAGGGGGAGAAGCCCTATCTGTAACAGCCAGCATCTGGGTGCTGACTGTATCCCAGCATGCTGGGGTTGTGGGTGGACACATTCAGGTCCCGGATAGTGAGAGCCGGGCTACCCCAAACTGCAAGCCCTGGTTCAGAGAGAGAGACCCTGTCTCAAACAACAAACAAATAGAAAAATAAATAGGAAGTAGGTGGAGGAAGTCATGCTGATGTCAGCCTCTGGCCTCACACGTTCCTACACAGGCAAGTTCACCTGCGTGCACATGTGTGCACACATCATACAGTACACACATACACAGGCTACCTGCTCTGTGGCAGACGCAAGTGGACAGATACTGATCGGTGGGGGTGACGTGAGCATTACAGTGACAGTCCAGCTTTTCAACAGTAAGGCCTCTGCAGCTGCCCACCACACAGCTGGAACACTTACTCCCAGCTGCTCAAATGACTGTGACCAGGAAATGTAAAATAAAACCTGAAAGAAACATTTGGCAAGGTAAGTGCATTGCCAAAAACGCTTGGTATTTCAAAGCCAGCTATAAACATCTTGGAATTACTTTCACATGGTTTTCTGACCAGATAATCTGGATCAGATGGAAGTACCCAGTTTCCTTTCTCTGCTCTTCATGCTTGGCCAGCCAGAGACCATCCTTCTCCAGTCTGCCCCCTCACCCCCGCCGAGAACCCGCCCACTTGGGAAAGGAAGGCCTGGCAGCTTCAAGGCTGCAATAGTTAGCAGCAAGTTCGCAGGATGGAGAGATGGCTTGTGGGGTGATTGGAAAGTCTTGTTTTCCTCTTTTGGGAGGCTTTCTTAGACATCAGAGATGACCAGAACCCTCCCCACCAGTCCAGGGTTGTCAACTTTGCCTAGAAGAAGAGTCAATCTCTTTGGAACATCCACTGCCCTTGCACCCCCCCCCCCGCCCCACTATGCAGCCAAGAGTAGCCTTCCTGAGAGTGTGGATCTCTCCCTGACTATCAAAACTGCATGATTTCTGACTTTTTTGGATAATTTTTATTTATCCTGAGTCTCGGTCACCATGTCACTTCCCCCTGGATGGTTCGACTCTTCCTGTTCAGCGGGTCATTCACTGCAGTGTGATGCACACTGCCATTGTCGCTGTTTAATCGCGCAGTTTCTCAAAGTGCCTCGTAGCAAGAATTACATTTTACGTGAAAACCCGGGCCACACATCCGTGAAGGTTTCATGAAACGCTTCGGAAAGTCCCATTCTGGGTGCTAGAGATGCTGTTCCCTGGGTGAAAGGCTGCTCTGGCATGCCAGAGGCCTGAGTTCCTCCCAGAAACCATCTGAAACGGGGTGGTGGTGAGAGAGGCTCTGGCCCTCCAGCGGTGGGAGCTTGGCCTCCTCTAAATTCAGCAATCGTCAGCAAATTAGGAGATCAAGTTGTAAACAGAGGAGTATAGGGGTGGAGAGATGGCTCAGTGGTTAAGAGTATTTGCTGCTCTTGCAGAGACCATGGGTTCCATTTCCAGCATCCACATGGTAGCTCACAATCTCTTTAACTCCAGACACCCATTTCAGGCCTCCAAGCCACACATACATACTGGCAAAACACTCAAATGAATGAATGAATGAATAAATAAATAAATAATGTTACTGTTGGTCATGTGTGTTAAGTTCCTCCCCTATCTCCAAAACAAATCCTTTAAGGAAATAAGCCATCCAAGGTCAGCTTGGAGTATTCACTTGTCAGGGATAAGAACAGTATTCATACTCAACAGTGGGGCTGTGATGGTCACACCCCTCAGGGTTCGTCGGTTTCCAGGATTTTAATTAGTGGGGACAGCATCTGAGCCAGGATATGATTGACATGAGTCAAAAGGAGCACGGAGTAGGGAGGGAAAGGGTTGCTTGTAAAATGTCCACGGTAATTCTTAAGTGATTAGCCTGGTGTGGAAGCTTCTTTTCCTTTACACTGTGGCATGTATGGTAGTCGAGTTGACTGGCAAAGGGTTTGTGTTTCCTCTTAATTACGTGGATTTCATGCAAGTCACACACAGGACGCAGACATTCTGCTGTTTCTTCACCTGTGCGTAGCTGTGGGGATTTTGAGCAGCTCTGTAGGGTGAAATGTCCTAGATGTAGAGCAGCTGGGCCTTGTTTCCAGCCGGTCTCTAAACAGCTTTATGACCTCAGCTTGCAGATGAAAGAGTGTGGACTGCATGTTGAGGGCCTTTGGCAAATAGCAGGGATTGGTTAACTGTCAGGAGTAAATGAGGTTCGTCCAGTCTACAGATCCCATGGCTCTCATCTAGGAAAGACGGGAGATGCCATGCCAAAAAAGGAAAGAAAAAAACGTCTCTCAGTCTTTTTATCGCCTTATCGAAAGATACCAATTTCATTTCCTGAATTAATCCAGGGTGTGTCTGCTAGGCAGGCAAAGCCTCTTGGGTTTCCACTTACTAGCCTATCTGTGTACATTTTGGAGATGGGTCCTCAGTATATCTATGCTTTAATAGAAACATTCATTTGAAACTCTCCTCTTGGGCCAGCAAGAGATGGCTCAGCACATGTAGGGACTTGTTACCTAAACCTGACAATGTGTGTTTGCTCCTTAAACACACGTAGAGTGGACGGAGAGAAACAATTTCATAAAGTCCTCTCACCTCCACACGTACATCACAGCACACCCCCTCACTGCACACAAATAATGTGAACAAAAATACAATAAGTTAAAAGCACATATCGACCAAATTGTGTTTACAAAATAGATCCAGTGACGTGTTTTCCAAATCTGACCCCAGGACTCCTAGACTGACAAATGTTTTGATCTTACAGAAATGGAGACAGTGTGTATTTATGATGAAGATTACCCTGCATGGTTTGTAGGCATTTCTGAGCAAAACAAAACAAAACAAAAAAAGGCTAAGCTCAGCAAAGACAGTATCTTTATCAGAGAAAAGACCCGTAAAGATGTTTATCAGCCCCCCCCCTCCCGCACATAGGTCCCTGTTGGTGGGACCATTTGGCACTATTCACATATGGTGATGTCAATGGCACCCTCTGGGAATGGGCATCACACAATATGTAGAACAGTACCCAGAGGCCCTGCTGGGGTCCGTTAGTAGCAATTTTACTCTCTTTTGAGGAGAACAGGAGCGGGAACTTGCTATACTTCTTTTAAAGGAAAGAACTTTATTTTTGCAGAAATTTTCTGCCATCATCTTCCACAGTCTTAAAGCCCTCAGCCATTGAAAGAGTAAGTCTGGAAGCTACCCTGAGCTAGTGTTTTGAGCTTCGCTGGGAAGTGTAATTCAGGACAAACTGGGAAGGCTGTAGGTGCATTCACTCCAAGGGCACACAGCAGCATCCTAAGTGAGGCACAGAAGCCTGTGTCATTTGACCCCAGACAAGATAAGCTGCTGCAAGGCCTGGTGCCTTGTGTTTCTCTGTCTTGAGCATGCCCAAGAGCATCTCTTCAGGAGGCTCAGGGGGGTGAGAACTCTGTTCTTGTCACTTCCTGATGCCACTTGTCTGCTGGCCTTGCCAATGACACAGACAGTGGACACAGCTTGTAAAGCAGGAAGGAAGTTTGCCAAGAGCATTGGCACTGGCTCTGAACGGCTCTGCATTCACAGACAAGGCAGTCCCTGCAGCCCTCTGGCCCAATGGCACGCTGTGAAAGGGAACCGTATGAAATTGCCTGAGCCTGGGAACTGCTGAAGCTTCATGCGCTGTGACTCAGGTGTCTGCAAGAAGCAGGCAAACACATGGAGTGCGTGACCACTACGGCAACAGGCAGGGCCAGGGCGCGTCACTGCATCAGTGAGACACACGGCCTGGCCTAAGGCATGCGGTCTCAAACTCACAACCAGAGCGGTCGCTTCTTCCCATGTCACGGGGGCGCCACTTGAACTTTAGTTCTTAGCACTAGGCCCCCAGAATTTGTTTGTGAAGTCAGAGAAGAACTAGCATTTTAGGAGACCAGTGTGGGTGGTCCTGCTCCATTCCCATTATCTTGCCCTAATGGTCAGCACTAAGTTTTCACTCTCCAAAGCGTCCCAGCCCAGCTAGAAGGTAATTGTCAAGGCTTAGTGAACTTTGGGAAAGAGGTTCATTTTATCCAAATCCACCCAAAATTTCAGAAGAAGGTATGCATGTTTGATGGCATTGCTTGGTAAATTGAAATCCACTTAGTTTAAATAAGCTCCCAAATATCCCAACAAAAACGACTCAATAAAGACCGTGTAGTAATTTAAAAACTATAGAAAATATCTGACAGACTGTTAATGTGTGGAGTGATTGATGAATTCATAAACTTCATAGAGAAAGGCGCAGTTATTTCTTTTGTTGTGAGACAAGGCCTCACTGTTAACTCTGGCAGGTCTGGAACTCTCTATGTAGAACCGGCTGGCCTCAAACTCACAGAGATCCAAGTCTTCCGTCTGATTGCTGGGATTAAATGCATGCACCACCATGCCTGGCTACAGCTACTTTTATTAATAAGATAGTAGAGGGGTGCAGGGAAGTCTTAGTAGTTAAGAGGACCTGGGCTTGAGTCTTAGCACACAGTGATTCACAACCATATGTAACACCAGTGCCAGGGGATCTGGTGCCCTCTTCTGGTCTGCAGGAGCACTGCACATTTGTGGTACACAGCTATAAACGCTGACAAAACGCCCATGAACATGAAAAATAAATAAAGATTAAAATGTAATAGAAAGCATGGACTGAAGACACATGGATCTTCAGTGAGTCAGATAACAGCATCCATGAAGCTCTGGGTTTGTTCCCTAGTACAAAAAGAAAGAGAAGGAGAACCAGCCTAGAGTGAGGGAACTCGACTCTGTGTTTTCTACGGGAAGCACACTAAGCAGAAAAGGTCAGAAAGAGCAGTGTCTTAAAAGCTTATGCATTTCTAATGGGAAATTGATTCTATGAAAAATTATCAAGGATTTGGCATTTTAACTTTCTGGGCTAAATCCTAAAGGAAAGGGTAAAGAAAAAAATTTCAGTGGAGGTCACGAGAGGAACCGCTGAACCTTTGCAAAGCGTTCTGAACTCAGCCGTTCATCGTACAAGCACGGAAGCCACTCTTTCCCCTCCAGCCACACCACCAAAGGAGTCGGAACTATCTTTGCTCCAGGTAGGCCTGGGCACCTGCTGCCCAGCTGCTATGCTTGGCCACAGGATCCCCAGCTCCTCCAGTCTGGGTTTACTCTGTGCCTCTGTCAGGCCGTGAGTGGAGTTTCCGATTACACATCCTGCGTAGTGTCTCCTCCTGTGCTGTCTCTCAGCAAAGCATCTGCACCCAAACCCTTGAGAACCTGACACTGAGGCACTAAGACAAAGGCCCGGCGTGGTGGTGGCGCTGGCACACTCCTTTAATACCAGCGCTTAGGTGGCAGAGGCAGGCTGATCTCTATGAGTCCGAGGCCAGCCTGGTCTACATAGTGAGTTCCAGGATAGCCAGGGCTACCTAGTGAGACCCTATCATCAACAACAACAACAACAAAAAGACAGTAAGACAAAATAAATCAGCTACATACGTATGGTGTGTGTGTGTGTGTGTGTGTGTGTGTGGGTGCACTGGTCTGTGCATGCATATATGGAGACCAGTGGTCAGCTTCCAGTACCTTCTATTACTCTGCACCTCCTGCACTGGGGCTAGCTCACTGTCCTGACAGGCTGGCCCCTGAAACCCTGGGATCTGCCCATTTCCCACCCCTCCCCCAAGCAGTCTGGGCACACACTGTGGGTACTGGGGGTCTGGACTCAGGTCCTCATGCTTGTTTGGCAAGCTCTTCACCTGGGGATCCACCCCCAGCCCACTCGACCCCTCCTCCCCTCCTTTTATCTGACTTTTGACCAGTGTATCTGCTTGGAGAAAAGGTCCTCAACTTCGGTATTCTTATACATTTATTTTTCTATGTGTAACTTTTAAATTTTAGTGTATGATGCTGATGGCTTTTAAAAATATCAGAAAACATTCCTTATAAAATTATTCCACAAGCGAATCCAGAAACATAAAGGACTTTGAGGAGACAGCGTTGAACTGGCATTGCTATCTAGAACTAATTCTAGTTTCATTAGTACCAGTGAGCAAGAATAGCTTCAGACACATTATCGACATTGCTAATTGTCACTGATTATATATTAAAATTACACTAGTAGCCAATGGCCCATGTATAATTTTCTGGGACCTTTACGTTTTACCATACTGTAGCAGGTTCACGGATGCACAATATTATGTGAATATCTGCTGATACAAAGAATGCCTTCATTAGGATATGGAGATTCCATTGCTCTTTCAGTTACACCCAGGTTATAATTTTCACAGTGGAGCTTACTGAAGCCGGCTATGTGCATGCAACAGGGTCAGTATGACTTGTGAGCATGACTAATGACTCACAAGTGCAGATTAAGCGAGGGATTCTTTTGGAAATGCTGCCCCCGTGCCCAGTAGCTGGAGGCCTAGCTGAGTCCAGGATACGAGCTACAAGGATGAGAAGTACAAAGCCAGCTAGTGCTGCAGAGTCCTAGTGCAAACTGCAGTTCCCACATGCTCGCTTTTCTTATGCCAGGAGCAGGAAACTGCCCGCTGTGGCACTTTCCCAATGAAATGTGTTTTGATAGAAGTCCCTCAAAATCTAAGT